ATTTTTTTGAGTCACTGTATTTGTCTATAATAACTCGAGTTTAAGTTTTTCAAATAACGAAGTTTCATTGTTGCCTTTAGTTTTATCACTTCCGCTTTTGGTTGAAGGAATCTGAGAATATGCCAATAATATGACTCAAATACCGTTAAAATATTCTTAAAAACAATTTCAATTCTTATTGAAACAACTAAAAAAATTAATTAAAATAAACTAAAAAACAACAAAACTATAGTTTTTATAAAAATAATTATAAAAAAGTTATTGGTAGATATTTCCCAGATTTGGTAGATTTTTTTCAAGTGGAAGGTAAATATTTTTTTTCGTCAGTGGCAACCCTGGTCATGACCATCAGCAAATTAACATCTTCCGCTGTTCATTGGTCATTTCCATTTGGTAGTCAATTTTGTAGTAAGAATTATTGTTAATGATTTTAAAACCAAGATATGGCTAGATACTCGTATACATATTTGTAAAAATCGTTAAAATGAAGAAGAAAGTCGTTTTTATGTGTTATTTTGCATATGTTTGTGTGCAGTTACTTATATACATACATACACGTGTACAGTATATTCAAAAGCGGATTTCCTATTAACAGTGCATTGCTCAGCTGGTTGGCCTTGCCGCAGGTTCGTTGACTGATTTTATCGCTTTCTTAGGTCAAGTCAGATTGTCATGTTTAATGAGGTTGATATGAATCAGTGTGCTGCTTTTCGGACCGCTTATGTGTATGCACCTGAAGATGTTCATATAACATATACATATACATAAATAAATTTATTATAAACACTTGCATAGTTATGTTAGTGCTGAAGCGATGTACAGGTACACGTAATTACTTTGACTGCCGGAATTAAAAAAAAAAAACGGTTTAACAGAGAAAGTTATCGAAGGTTATATACGTAAGAGATGAGAAGCTTTTAGAGGGAATCAGTTCTGGTGTAAGTACTCAAAGCTGTTTTGAAGCTTGTAAGCTTACCGTTGTTGGTAAGGTGGACTGCCTTGCTTCTTTCGGCGAACCGAACTCTGGGCGATTAACTCTTTCAAACACTTCAAGTACCCTGGACCGGATGCCTTTATTCCTAAGACGATAGTAAAACCCTGACTAAGCTTGGAGTCAGCTTATCTCCTACATGCTGCACCACAGAACTGTCACAGCGAAACAGCGAGCAGGAGCACTCTGCAGGGAGACGTCCTTTCCCCCTTTCTCTTGATAGTCGTGATGAACAGGAAAGGAGAGGATGCCGGATTATTGTCGACGTGGACGACGGAGAAAAGTTCTTGGGAACTCTGTACGATATTATGCTAGCTGCGGAACGCGTACTATTTACCAGGAGATATAAAGTACCCCGATTCCCTTAATAGGGGGTGTTTCACTGGTTCTCTCTGATATGGTCAAGTTCTT